ATGCATACAGATTAATAATGCGGGCTGTACTCCTGCGCTGAAGTCGGAGTGATCGGTGATGTATGCTGTGGGGACAAAGTACTGGGACATGCTCGTCTGCTGTTTATGTCATTTTTGTTAAGTGACGAGTCATGCCCGGCGAACCACCAGCCACAGCTGGAAGTAAATCCAGTAGCAAGGCAAAGAGGATCTCTATACCTCGTGTGCAAAGCAGTACCGACACAGAACTACAGTCTCAACAGAGTCAGAGCGGTTCGACCCCACTGCAACCCACTGCGTTGCACTATGTCACCTTTCGTTCGGAGTTAGAGGACAGCCCCATCCCATCGGCTGTGCGATGCCGTTTGTATGATCTCTTTCAGCAAATTGAAAAGGAATTTGAAATGTTATATACGGAAAATCTTGGGTGTAAGTATTTTTTATGACAAATTCAGTCACTTGCACTATGTTAGATTAGTATATACTAAAAGTTGCTATATATATGAATATAGCTGTTATATTGAATCTTCTATTTCTTATTACAGTGCAAGAGAAGATCGACATCCTAAATGAAAGACTCGAAAGAGAGTGTTATGGATCAGGCGAGCGCAGTTTACCTCCAGGAGATCTTACGGATTATCCAGAAACAAAAAATCTATCTAAGCAAAAATGTAAGACTATTATAATATTAATGTCAATATTGATATAAAAATACATTTGTGTGTTGCATTATAAAAGAATAATTCAAGAAAGTTTAAACTACGACTTAGAAGACTATTAGACAAATTTAATATTCAGATAATAGTATTCATTAAACTATACCAGAAATTATTTTCTTAAATTATTTTCATTTCTGACAATTTCATTTATGTATTTTTTATTTAGTTTCATAAGTACCATACAGCTTTAAATATTTAAACTTTTTTTAAATATTTTATGTATATGTCCTGTTTATTATCTTCATTATATAATTTTATGACGTATTTTCCATTCATCTATCTATTCCAGGAGATTTAATAAGAATGATACAAAAGATAGAATACGTAGCTAGTATATATATATATATATGGTAATGATTTTTTAAAACTCAATAATTTTATTACGTTATATATTTAATTCTTGGATTTTAATAAGAATTCTTTATTTTGTAGCAATGGGTGCAAACTCGGCGCAAAAAATTAAAACTTCTCACAAATTAAAAGCACAGACTAGTAAAATAGTATCAAGCTTTAAAACTCCGTCTATGAATTGCACTATGCAAAAAGAGTATATGGGTCATCGAGATGGTGTGTGGGAGATATCCGTCGGCAGATTAGGTCAACCCATCATAGCGACTGCTTCTGCTGATTATACAGCACGTATATGGGCAATAGATAATAGTCGATGTTTATTACAATATATCGGTCACAATGGATCCGTGAATTCGGTTCGGTTTCATCCAAATAGAGAATTGGCTTTATCGGCGAGTGGCGACTGTTCCGCTCACGTGTGGCAGGCAGCTGTCGATTGGGATATGTCGAAAAGAGTATCGTCGTTAGAAGAACTTCCAATAGCGAGTTCCGAACGAACTACTGCTAATAATCTAATCAGTAATAATGATGAGCAAGACGATCCCCCGACTCTGAGGACGCCAATACGCGAACTTTTGGGTCACACGAACGTTGTAATGGCTGCAGATTGGCTTTCTGGTGCTGAACAGTTAGTCACAGCTTCTTGGGACAGAACAGCAAACTTGTACGACACGGAAACTGGGGAGATTATACACACATTATGCGGACACGATCAAGAATTAACTCACGTGTCGACTCATCACACGCAAAAATTGTGTGTCACGTCTAGTAGAGACAATACATTTCGATTGTGGGATTTTAGAGAATCATTCCACTCGGTTTCGGTATTTCAAGGTCATACTGAGTATGTATACTGATAAGAGCAAGTTTTTTTTCTAATTAATATTCAATCTGTTTATCCAGTTTATAACATTAAATGCGTAAAATTAATAAGCATGTCTCTCTTATAGAACAGTAACGTCTGCAGTCTTTACGAGGGAAGATAAAATTGTATCTGGTTCAGATGATAGAAGTGTAAAAGTATGGGAATTGCGTAATATACGTAGTCCATTAGCGACAATACGTGGAGATAGTGCTGCTAATAGATTATCAGTTTCTAGTACCGGGATAGTGGCAATACCACACGACAATAGACAAATACGTTTATTTGATCTAAGTGGTCAACGTTTGGCAAGGTTACCTAGAACTAGTAGACAGGTAAGAAAAGATATATTTTTATAATTGCATAGCAAAACTTATCTTTGTAATTAGTTGACTAAATTAATAATATAACGGTTTAACTGATATATACATTATCTGTAATGATAGGTAAAAGGAGAGTTTGAGATCATTAAAATAAAAAGTTACACATTAGTTATTGTTAATATTTTCAGATTTAAAGATTTATATATAAAATGTAAAAGATTTAAATCTCTATTTTGTTGTTTCATATTGTATCATTATTATAATATATGAAAATTGCGTAACACAATCAAATTTTTTTATTCTTAAAATATATCATTTAAACTACAAATATGTCTTATTAAAAAATAATATAATTATATTTGCAGGGACATCGCAGGATGGTGTGTTCTGTTGCTTGGTTGGAAGACAGCAGTGTGTGTAATTTATTTTCTTGTGGTTTTGATAGACTAGTATTAGGTTGGAGTGTTCTTCCCGTTAAAGATGCTTGAATATCAAAAACTGTGTGGTTTTATCGGATATTTTATGTCATGTTAGTGTGATATTGAAAATATTTAGGTGCAATTTAGATATGGAAGTACATATGTAACCATACAGTAAAAATCCAGCAATTAATCCAATCAAAGATCCTCCCCTTCCACTCTTGCAGACAACTGCAATAAAAAAAACCGAAATATATTGTATGTATTATTAAATAATTTATCAAAGATAAATTATAAATAGAATGTGAATTTTGAAGTTGCAATAAAAACTATGAATGTCTTACGTAAAGTGTACATTTTTAAATGCATATTTACCTGAATATGCAGTTAAAAGACATAAAACGGTGTAACTTTGAATAAAAAGGTAATATGGACCTGAGGCTATGTGCTGCCACACTATTCCAAGTAATCCCAATAATTTACCACAACCTCCGACTATTAGAGCGCAACTTAAATCTTTTACGCTGTATTTATATGGTTTTTTACCAATGATAAACCATTTTAATTCAGTCACTACAATAACTATACAAATGAATGCTGCAAATGCTAGTGCTGTGTGTAACAGCAAATTGTAAATATTGCAATGATCTTGTAATCCATTGTTGTGAACTAAATCCACTTCTGACGCAGTTAATTCTGTTTCGTTTATATCACACAAAGACCAAGCCCTGAACGATTCAGCTAGCCATAATATTATACTTATCTTCCAATATGATTTAAAATTGCTATTGTATAAAAGATGTCTGTAAGCTGGTTTTTCTATCAGAATAAGATCTACAAAGACTATAACAGGATCATATTCAATATATTTGTCAGCTAACAATCCACATTTCTCCTAAAATAGTGTAAAATTATCAGTATGCAATATAAAAGCATGAGTTCGTGTTTTACTTACACATTTTAAGATTTTAAGAACACTAGGGCAATATCTCCTAAAAAGCTCTTTGCATTCAGCTCCACAATTTATGCAAATATACATTTATAGACCAGATATCTGAAATAATAAATATAATTATAGTAATTATATATATAATATATATTTTTTAATATGTTTGTACGTGAATTTATAAAAATAACATTCCTTTAATTTCAGAAATAAAGGAGGACAATCACTTATACGTATGTTGGAATGCTCATTTATTATTATACTACACTTTGACACATTTATTTACAGGAATTTGCTTGCTTTTATCGAGATTCAGTAAATCCCCCCCCCCCCCCTCTCTCTCTCTCTAACTTGGAGATAAACTCTCTCCCTAACGATTTTGTATCTTCGTCAAGAAATTGCTCTCTATTTTTTTTAGCATTTACAATACTCTAAATTTAGCAGAAACATTACATCACTCGCATTCAATATGTCTAATAATGATACATCTGTAAAGAAAGACTTAATCTTGAGCTGATCGATTCAGTGATTACAAGAACAGGAAATTATTAGATAAACTACAGACTTTCATGGAAAGGTTGTTCTTTTTATCTGAATTTTTTGCTCGGTTCATATTTTCTCTTTTTTCTGCGATACAAAGAAAAAAGGAAAGAAGATGAACTGTGCAATAAGTTTAGCTAAAAATAATAAGTCTATAAGTAAATTATCTAGACTGCTAACATTATGAATTCAATTGAAAATGCAAATGGAAGTGGAGATAGGCAAGTAGTGACATACAGGGTGTTTGGAAAATAATGATAAATCTTTCACATAGGGGTAGAATGGACTAAACTGAGAAGAAAAGTTCTCTACCATTTTGCAATTTTTGCAATAATTAACAAGATATTAATTGTTAAAAATTGCCAAAAATTGGTCTTCAATCATTTTTTACTCAAATACTATCACAGAAAAACTGCAAGAGACAAAAATTATTTATTTTCTTCTCATAAAGTTCTGAGAATTTTTTCAAAATTTTTTAATACCGTATTTTCTCATGTTGGTAAAAATGAGAAAATGCAGTACTAAAAAGTTGATAAAAAATTCGTAAGTTCTATGAGAAGAAAATAAATAATTTTCGTCTCTTGCAATTTTTCTGTAAAGTTGATAGTATTTAAGTAAAAAATTATTGAAGACTAATTTTCGGTAATTTTTATCTTTATAACTGGATTATCAATTTCAGTTGAAAATTGCTATGTGATTAGATATTCACATGTACTTTATTTCTGCAATGTTTAAAATTTGTAAGAATTTTCCAGTTGTAGAATCTTCCTTGTGTGTTACTCGACAACTGTACAAATGTGTACTGTACAAAAAAAAAAGGCCTGTGCTATATAGTACGGTGAAAGTTGTGTGGTAGAAAAAGTGGGAGGAATACAATAAAGTAGCACATCCCGATTTTAAAACATACAGTCTGGTTTCTTCGTTGTTACAAGACATATCGCGAATATGGCTCAAACAAATTCTAGTGTATCTCTGCCAACAGGGCAACAAATGCCCATTTTAGGATTTGGAACATGGAACGTAAGTTTATAAAGAAATAAAATTATAATCCAAACGAAATTTATTTATATCATAATTATATTATATTTGAATGTGCGGCATATATTTTATTTAAAATACACTTTTTCTGTATATGCATACACTGACACACGCGCGTACAAAAAAAAGTTATGCTCCTCCTGATATAAATAATTTTTATAAGTAACTACTGTGCTTGTTTTAAACCACTAAGTCTAATATCATATTTGTCTATCTCTTTATGAGATAAAAAGGAATTTTCTTATTCGAGGATATACTATGTGTGTTGTTTGTTTATTTATAAAGATATGTTTATAATATATCCGCAGGCAAGCGGAGAAGAACTAGAAGCAGCTCTGGATGCAGCTTTGGAAGCAGGATATAGGCATATTGACACAGCTGCAGTATACGAAAATGAACGTTTCATTGGTAACGTTTTGAAAAATTGGTTGGATTCCGGCAGGATCAAGCGATCCGATCTGTTTATTGTGACTAAGGTATAACTCGTATCAGAGTTGGGCACTATTCGAATAATTTTTTATTTAGAATATTATTCAAATAGAATTTTATTTATTATTTGCATTATTTATTGTGGCGACTCGCCACTAGAGGTCCACGGGACTCACTCGGTTCGCGTAAGTACCGCGCCGCGCGAATTCCCTTTAAATAGAATATTATTCTGGATTCATTCCAGGCGTCTAAGGCAAATCCCACACTACATTGCCTTACTGATGAGTCTAGTAGTGTGGGACCAGGCTGCAGCCGACTACAAAGCTTCGAGTCAGGCCTCCCTTAGTGGACATTCCCACATTATTATTTATATTATTCATATTAATCGCCATTGTATTATTGTTGTTTATTCGTTATTCGTATTATTCTTCATTCGCATTATTCGTTATTTGCATCATTATTGGCATCGTTCGTTATTCGTATTGTTCTATTTTGTATTATATTGTTCCTAGAAGACGAGCCTTTCACGAGCCTGCCACCAGATCACTGTACGAAAATAAAGATCCACATTTCAAGTAATAATATCCACTCATTGTTAATTACTAATTGTGCGCTATAAGTTTCACCACGCTTCATACCTTCGTTATCACTTTGGACTACGTTTAGTGTAAAATAAAGTTTAATAAAAAAAGTTGTTCTACATTATACTTTACAATGCACACATTAAATGTATCTATGTATGTTGAATTATATATTATTCATTCGAATACATTGTATACTCGAATAAATTTTACTCGAATACATTATTTCCACATACGCGAATATAAATGTTATTCAAATATAATTTTATTTTAGATACACAAAATAAATTTATATTTGAATAAAAAATTATTTTTTATTTATGAACAAGACTTTATTCTTTATTCGTAAATGTGCCCAACTCTGACTCGTATTACTATATTTATTTTAAGCATAATATAAATATAAATATCTACATGCGGTAATAAATAGATAGAAAATAAATTTCATATTATCTGCGTATTAGCATGATCTTTGAACTGCATATTAAATAGTATGTATATTTTAGCGAAATAATTCGAGCTTATTTCCATTCATTCTGTGTACACAATGTAGATAGTGAATGACTGGAAATCCCACAATGTAACCCAGATGTAACTGATAATTATATTATTCAGTTATTATAACAAATTTTATTATTTTATTATTTCATTATGTTCTTATTATATCTATAGGTACCTCCTAGTGGAAACAGACCCGGTGATATTGAAAAGTGGCTGAAGAGATCTCTCTCTAATTTGCATTTAAGCTACCTGGATTTATATCTTGTCCATGCTCCATTTGCATATCAAGATGCTGGAGAAGAGTTTTTACCTATTAATGAAAAAGGAGAAATAATGATTGATACTGATACGGATCATCTACAAATTTGGTCAACAATGGAGAATCAAGTGCTGCAAGGACGTACTAAAGCGATTGGATTGAGCAACTTTAACATTGCACAAATCAAAAGAATTTTGGATAACGCTAAATTACCTGTTTCAAATTTGCAAATTGAATTACATGTTTATTTCCAACAGAACAAACTGGTATCTATCTTATCTTAATGTATTTTTGTTTGTACTGAAGTCTGAAGATAATTACTATGCTATCTCTTACGAGTAGATAGAACAGATTAAACTGAAGGGAAAAATCTTTTACCATTTTGCGATTTTCGTCATAATTAATTAAGTAATGAGAAATTTTGCCGTTACAATGCTAATTATTCGAACGCCATCTGAACGCCATAATTTGACGTCTTTGATTTTTTTAAACTGTTGGCTGGAAACCGTTTTCTGGATGTTAAAAATTGTGGTTTTATGTACCATTACGACAATGATAATTTATATTTAAATTTCGACAACTAATGATATAAATAATACTTATATTTCGATAAATAATGATATAAATAAAATTATGATAAATGATAATTTTATTTATATTTCGATAATTGTAAAACTATCAGTGTCGTAATGCGTTCGTGGAATCACAATTTTTAACATCCGAAAAACAATTTGAAGAAATCATCGATATAAACGACAATCTGGATAATTAATTTCGTGACTGTAACTTTATTAATCTAAAAATATATATTGATATTCTTTGTATCACAGGTGAAGTTTTGTCAAGATAACGACATCCGTATAACGGCGTACTCTCCTTTGGGTTCACGTGGATTTGTTGAGAAAATAGGAAAGGGAGACGCTGTGTCGGACTCATTAAAAAACGTAACTGTGTTAGAAATTGCGGAAAAATACGAAAAAACGCCTGGACAAATATTACTTAAACACATCATTCAAAAAGGTATAGTGACTATACCGAAAAGCGTTAATCCTTTAAGAATCAAACAAAATATTGACTTGTTCGATTGGCAACTCGAAGCTGAAGATGTTGACAAGTTAAATGCTTTGGATATGGGAGAATCTGCACGAGTGTGTGATTTCAGTTTCTTTAAAGGTGTATCAAAGCATCCAGAATTTCCTTTCTAAGATTATCATATAGAATATCCCGAAATTAGGTAATGAAAATACTATAGCAAGAAAGGTTTCAAAATATTAAGTAAAAAAGTTATTTGTAAATTTTTATTTTGGACAGTAGTTTTTGAAATAATAAGGATTTAAATATGACCAGACTGCGTTTAGACGACCACCTGTCCATGAATCGCTTTTACGATAGTATCAGCGAGCGCTGTCAAGTGCGCATTTCTTATTAATACATACTCACTGTCACTAATCAGATGATCGTTTAAAGGACTATAGTTGGCCATATTTAAATCTTTATATCTCAAAAACACTGCTAAAAAAAATTCCCAAATAACTTTTTACGTAATTTATTAATTTTTCCAAGAAACTTTCTCTTGTTATAATATTTTAATTCGCAAACTTCGGGATCCTGCTATGTCCACTCTTTTTTTATTTCTCATTGTTACGTATAATATACAATTTAAAGATTGTTATTGCATGCAAAATTATCGTAATCAAATAAAGTATTTGTTGTGTAGAAAATTACAATTAGAATACGTGGCTTTCAACAAAACAAATTTCGAAAAATGAGCATTTGCCACACACTGAATTTTTTCAGTGAAATAATTTATACATTAATTGCTATGCATGTATGCGATTTTTTACTACGATACATATAATAAAAAAGCCATAACAATCAACAATACAATGAATAAACGTTGAAAAAGGCCATATTAAAGGCCGAAACGTTTATTCATTGTATTGTTGATTGTTATGGCTTTTTTATTATACGTATCGTAGTAAAAAACCGCATACATGCATAGCAATTAATATATAAATTATTTCACTGAAAAAATCCAGTGTGTGGCAAATGCTCATTATTCGAAATTTGTTTTGTTGTGTAGAAGTACCTATTTTGTTTTTTATTAGCAATTATGTAGCATTTAAAAATTGTTATTTCATGTAAAACTTTATCGTTATCTAGTACGTAATCAACGTTTATTGCATCCGCTGCTATTTTTATATAAATTTCTAATATCTTATCATGTGTACTGCTTAAGCATCCCCCGGGAAAAAATATTTTATATACAAAAATGCATATATATAATTCTATATAATCATATATAATTTTATATCTAAGTTTATACATAATTATATATAAATATATATAATTATATACAATTATATAAAATTATATATAATTATACATAAAACATTTTTTTCCGGGATATACTGGGCACCTATCATAGAATAAATCCGAATGTATTCCAATCAGAATTAATCCGTTTTCTCTAGAAAATTTCAATAGAAATATCTAGGAAATAATTGAATAATTCCGATCAAAATCCATTCCGACTTATTATATTATAGATACCCTGTTGTAATTTTTAATGGATCAAACAAAATTGTCAAACAAATCATTTTATAGATAATAAAAGTAATACAATTATATATACAAGACGATTGAATATAAAGATGACTTTTTGGAGAAAGTTTCCATTTGGAAGAGTTATCTCGGTTCGTACCACCACATAAAGATGTTAAATATTTGTCGGATTATATTTGAAAATGTAGGATGCTTTCACATTACCTTACCCACTTTCATCTCAATTATTTCAAACCGTTGGCTTCATGATTTTTTTTCTTTACTTTTTGTAAGATAAATTAAGACTCAAGACACATCTGATCCTACTGATCGCCGCAAATTCGCCGAAATATGTAAAACTGAACACATTCCACATGCATACTTCGCACTGTTTCACAAACATAGAGGAATGTTTGTGAAACAGTAAGTAAACATAGCATATGAGTATTCAGATAGAAATGTTGATTGTGTTCATAATTATTGTATTACCTAATTTTAAATATAAATTCTTTTTCTATGAAAATGGATTAAAGATATTAATGTTAAACAGCGTTAGAAACGTTACATTATACAAATAACACATTACTGTTATTATTATTTTTTTAATAATTTGTCACAGTTATTCGTTACTAATTTTTAAAAATAATGCGTTATCGTTACGGTTACTTAGAAAGCAACGATTTATTACTTTTTTGTAATACTAAGGTAAGACATTAGATTAAAAAATTATATTAATAATCCATATTAAATGTAACAAAAAATAATAAATATTAAAACTAATTTCTATACAAAGTATCCTGAAATTCGCAAGTCGAAATATCACAACAAGAAAGTTCTAAAAAAAAAATTAATTAATTAAAAAGTATTTGCCATTTTTCATTCCGATTAATTGTTTTTGATATATAAAGATATTAATTACAGATTACAGTTAAACAAAACTGTCTGTCCGTGAATCATCACTAACTACATCATTCGACAAAAAAAGACTTTTTCAAAATGAAATACATTCTTAGGACTTTAAGCACTCAAAAGGAATTTACAATATCGACTATGGTTAATAAGATAGTCAAGATTAAATGGAATTTATATGTGATGATAGATTTAATATGATGGATTCTCAAAACTTGAAAAAAATATTCGAATTATTGCGAAAATTTATATGTATAAAAAAGTCTTTCGTAGTTTAGAATTTGTCAATTCTGACATTGATTCCTATTTACTCTAAATAACCTTAGCCATTGAATGATATTGAATCGTAATATCAGAAGCAAGAAATGACTCATTAATTTTTGTTACGTACCATTTATAAATAAAGACAATTTGAACAAAACAAAATGATAAGATCGCTTCAAAATATTTGTAAAAATGGACAAAAACTATGCTTATCTCTCTCAGTTAGTAAACAACCGTATTTTATAAAAAAGTAACGATTAAACTTATGGATTTTATTATATTATCAAATAGTGCCTGTATATATATACATATATATATGTACCTGTTTTCCTAGTCCTGTGGGAGTGTCCAAGTGTCAACCTATTAGGGTCATTTAACACTTTCTTTATATGTTCCACCGGCTGGTGGAAAGTTATCTTCCGTAAATACAGCACACACATTCATATACTGATTTGACATCATAGTTGCAGGTTAGGATCGCAGCGACAGTGCGCACGCGCAAGCCAATGTCGGATTTTTAAATCAAATTTATGAAGAATTTTAAATGTTTTTTTAATATGCTGATATATATATATTTTTTTCTTTGCACATTTCAACTTTCTCAACAAGATTATGACAGCATATACTATCAAATTCAGCACATTTAGCGAATTATCCCAAATAACAAACAGAAATGATTTAAAAGATAATAAAACTGACAAACATTTCAATATATATCTCTAATAAAACAGAATATCCATTTAAAATAAATTGTAAAAAAATTCGTTATATTATCCATTTAAAATAAATAGATAATATAACGGATATTTTTAATAATTTTCGGCTTATTTGTTATATACTACAAAATGACTAAACATTCACATTGTTGTTATAATTATACATTGCTCAGATTCAAAATTAATACTACATTCGCGCGCTCGCGCGCTGAAAACTTATTATTACAATATGTCTGTGCGCTCATCAGCTTTGCATTGCAAATGTTACACATAGAATTAAAATTAATAATACATTTAATGCCGTGCGTTTAAGTAACATTATAGGGATCGTGTGTCGTCAGAGAGCGATTACGCTTTCTCGTCCTGCTCCTACGCCGATCCATTTGACTGTAATCAAATATAAATTACTCTATACATATATCTAATTCTCTTGTAGATTCACATATATATTGCATACATGTGCAAAAAACATTTACGTACCTGGCACATCTAAGTATTCCTCTATAATTTGTATGTACTTATGTGCATTAGGTGGCAATTTATCCAAGGAACGTACACCCTCGGTAGTGGATTGCCAACCTTCGATTGTTTTATATACTGTTTCGACTTTTGCTAATTCCCAAGTACTACTCGGCAAATAATCTATGTCCTTCCCATTTAACCGATATCCAACGCATACTTTTATCTCTGGTAAGGTATCCAAGATATCAAGCTTTGTTAAGCATATAGAGGTGTATCTAGAATAACAGACAAAACATTTTATATGTAAATTATGGTAAAAGTAATATTGCATTAAATTTAAATCAAGCAATTATTAAAAGACGATGTTAAGATCACGTTTTATCGATCGAACACAATTTTTTTTCAAATAAGGTAATCTTTTTGTTAATTACACAGAATTAAATTTTTCATAATTAAAATATAGACAATAACGCAAGAACTAAATGATTTCGTATAAAAAAAACGTTGAAAAATTAGTTTTGTTATCGGGTTCTAGCGTCAATTCGCAACAATATTTGCATTTTTAAAAATAATATTTGCAGTCCAATATGACTATGGTGATTACTCAGGAGCCTTAAATCGTTAATCGGTAAAACAAGTGATTCCGTCAAAGTTCGACCGTCACGCCCAGCATCCTTAAAAAAATGTTTTTTAATAAGAAATCATTTTACACATACCCATTAACTCGAGTTGTAAATTTTAGCAATGGTAAATCGAGCCATCCACATCGTCTCTTTCGTTTTGTGGTCACGCCGATCTCATGGCCTCTTTTTTGCAACAGTTCTCCTGTAGAATCAAAAAGTTCCGTGGGGAAGGGCCCATCGCCGACTCTAGTAGTATAAGCTTTCACGACGCCGATTATCTCGCCGATTGTGCTACATGGTAAACCGAGACCTGTCAGTACTCCGCCTATACTACAATTCGAACTTGTCACATACGGATAAGTTCCAAAATCGATATCCAACATCGTTGCATTGGCGCCTTCCACCAAAACTTTCTTGCCATCCTTTAAAGCCTGATGCAAATATTGTACCGTTTCCCTTACGTATGGCCTTATACGTTCAGAATATCTGTGAAAAAATCAACCATATATTGTAAAATATATACTTAACATGACTGGTTCTACAATTAAATTGGAAGATGGTCATTACACTTACATCTTGTAACGCTCCAATTCGGCTTTAACATCGACATGCAGGGCAGGGAACATTTTCTGATACGATGTAACCAAGGTTTTAAACTTTTGGGAGAACTTGTCAAAGTCTCCGAGAAGATCTCCAATCCTGAGTCCAGCTCTAGCAGCTTTATCCGAATACGCCGGTCCTATACCTTTCTTTGTAGTCCCTAATGACTGCGTGCCCTTTTCTAGTTCTTCCAATCCATCAACCTGTTGGTGAAAATCAAACACTATATGTGCTCGATCCGATATTATAAGCCTGTCCTGCCAATCCTTAAGTCCCTTAGATTCGTTCTTCTCCAATTCTTCGAACAGCCCAGGTAAATGAATCACTACCCCATTGCCTGCAAACACAAGAAAGTACAATTGAATAATATCGATTACATAATTTGTGATATATATAACAGAAAGTTATTCAGATAACAATACACATCAAGAGATATAGAGCAACCTATATGAACAAGTGGAATAATTGTCTGTTTTATGTATCCACGATCTTAGCATCTCATCTACCTTCATAAAGTATTATTCTTTTATTTTACATTAATTATTAAAATCGTACAGAGACATGTTACTTTTTCGCAAACCAGAATATCTATAATTCGATTAATTTACTGGTTGATTTGAAGAAGTCATTACCTATTACGGATTTGCATCTGGGATTGATTATTCCACTAGGCAGAAGGTGAAAGTCGAATTCGGCACCTTCTACAACTACAGTATGCCCTGCATTATTTCCTCCCTGTGAAATTACATTAATACTTGAAGAAACAGGGCTTGCCATTATTTATGACAGGAAATACAGCGCGTTGTGATTTGAATTGTAAATCAAGAATAGACGCAGAATTCCCCGCCACACATAAACAATGGCATTGAAATCCGGAAACAAGTTGGAACCATATTGGGGATAAAAAAATAAGAAAAGGGCAAAAAAGAAAAGAGTGTGAAGTAATATTTTATTATGTTGAATATACTATATAATTTATAATATAATTTAAATATAATTTTATTGAGCTCTATTTAAAAAAACAGCACATTAATTCCAATCGTACATAACGTATTTCTAATCATCATGTACATGTATTTAACATTATTAACTATCCTATACAGATACGGATGCAGATATGCATAATACCCTGATATTACATAATTTTGGGTTTCTTATATTAGCATAAATCGATTAATCAGAATTTTCAGAACATTGATTTCATCATTAATTATGTAGATCGTAGACCTTGAAAAGATAAAACGAAAGCTCTATGTTTTTAGGGTATGCGAAAGATAAAAAATAATTTGTCATTTTTTTGAGTCATAAAGATAGACTGAGAACGATAACTTCGTGAGTTAATTCTCTCCCCCTTTCAGAAATATAATTCTTTTATGGCCGTCAATTATGTAATATCAGACGTGAGGTTGTTATACATTCGCGATACTCGCGCGCACAGGTCAGGTGACACGCGGTTGTGGCTAAAAATAAAACTAAGACGAATAAAACGTACGACGCTTTCGCATTTTCCGAGTATTCGCTTGTCATCTGCGGGGAGAGCAACGGATGCCAAACGTGCTTTCGAGGAAATATTTTTAGTCTTTCCCAATTCCCGGAAATACCGCGTGATCTAACCTAATATTCTCTCCAGGTACCCATCACGCGCCATCCCTCGATGAATCAGCGCGAAAGAGCCGGGAAATGACGAGTTTTTTTTCTCCGAAGGGGAGATATCCGATTGTTGTTCGCGTCCCGCAGGAGAGAAATATCGTTTCGTGAATCTCTCGACTCTCAAGGAGCACCACGGGATCGGAGATGGCGAGGGCGAGAGAAATTCGGAGGCGGGATTCGGGGGCATGAAACGCGAAGGAAAATCGTACCTGACATCTGCAGACGACGTCAGCCTCCATCGCCAGCATGTCCACGACCTTTCCCTTGCCCTCGTCGCCCCATTGCGCGCCGAGGACTACCGTGACCTTCGACACGGTGGATGTCCGCTGTTTCTTCCTCGGCGAAACCGGAATGCCGTCGCCGTTCGCCTGCATCTTTCCTCGAGTGCACGCGGGAGCTGGCGGGAGCACACCAGGTGAGTAGTCGAGTCGAGTTGCGCGTCCGCCACACTAACTGATTAATAACGTCGTAACGTCGGGGCGCGTCGCTTGCTTGACGTTCAGCGAACGGGATTTTTCCTCCTCTCGCCAAGGAACAGCTGACACGGCGGAAATCCGTGGCGGGACAATCGTGGGCGAATATCTGAAAGAGTCGCCTCCACCGCACTCCACCGCCACTTGTGGGGTCGCGGCAATTGGCATTCCCCCTCCATTGTCCGCCCCGCCCCGCCCCGCCTCTTCTGCTATTCTTCCCCTCCGTCCGGATTAACTTACCTAACCTAATCCTACATCATGAGGTCTGTTCTTTTTAGGCCCAGTTTCACAACTCATGGTCAACTCTTAACCGAGGTTCAACTTATTTCTCAACTTTTTCCAATTCTAGAATTGAAAAGAGATAATGAATAAGTTGAACCTCGGTTAAGAGTTAACCGTCAGTTGTGAAACTGGGCCTTAGCTAAAGTTCGCGCATGGTTTACCTTTCTTTCTTTTCTCCATTTGGAGAGAGAAAGAGAAAGGATGAATTGCGCAAAAAGTTTAGTTAAAAAGAACAGACCTAGAGTTCCTCTTCCACTACGAGCTTATTCTTTTTTTTTTGTTTTGCGTAGAAGAAAATCTTCGTATACCACAGCTAGGCAATCCTCTCGAAAGGGTTTGGACCTAACTGTGGAAGATACCCATCAATCGTGCCTGATGGGCATGTTGGATTCGGACTTCACCTGGTGAGTGCAACTCAGGCTAGGCCCAATTTTCATTCGAGGGCTACTTGCATATGGTCCAATTCCGTAAGGAGAGGCCTGCTTTCGCTCCAGAAAGATTACTTTATGAGACCAATGTCATTATTTGTCATCACCCTACCAGGTCCGCCTACCCCAACTGAAAACTTCCCCTGTTTTGCGCTACCGCGAAAATCCTGTCGCCAGATACCCGGAGTATTAACTTCAGGTATGAGCTTATCCTATCCAGGTTGTGTTCCAAAATTCACTGCCAGGGCTAAAAATGTATAGTATACGTAACGTAAACTGTAGATTTTCAACGCTGGCATTGAATTTTGGAACATAGCCAGACAGCCTTTAGGACTGGTTTCTATCCATTTCTATTTTTTTTACGCAGGTCGTAAATTGTTAACTTATATACCGTAAGTTATAACCGATAAGTTCAATACGGTGTTTACGTAGATTTACGTACTACCACTTGCTATACTTTTATTTCGGTTATTAAATGTATGAAATCGATATAGTATCGATATTTTTTAAATGTTATTTATAATTTGCTTTTCATATCTAGATATGATAGCAATAATACCAATAAATTATATGTATACCGGCATTATGAAAATTTCAGTTAGATATATGTACTAATATTCTACCTCCGATATCCTTTGTTATTTAAAATTGTTAGAATATCGATATTATAAAAATATAAGTATATAATATCACACATAGCATATAATACGAAATACTAACTACGTTTGATCTCACTGATGAAACGAACAGTTCATTTGCGTGACGGTAATAATTTGAAGGATATTCTATTATGCGCACGCTTGATATGTAAATTGCGTCTTTATCTGTCCTTTCTTTATTTTTAAATAAATAGCGAAACAAATGTATTTCTTTATCGTTATCATTATTCGTGCGGAACGTTGACGTACCGTTAATGTACAAAAACAGAATAATTTCCCCGAGTTATGCGCGCTTACGCAAAAGAAGTAGCTTAATAAAATTTTGGGTGCAAATTCAAGTCAACAAAAAATAAATTATAGTATAGGAAAAAAGAATGCAGTCATGACGAAAACGGATCGTCAGCAAGATTGGCGGAAGAGTCTATCATTTTGCAACCATTTGAGCAACCAATGAGATATTCAATTGCGTCAGACTTTTCTCAGTTCTTCTAATCTGCTATCGTATTTCATTCTCGTATCGTGTTGCATTCTGCTACATCTTTTTTATAGCAACAAAATTTACACTTTGCAACATCTGTTTTCGACAGACTTGGCTATCTGGAATTAATTAAAGCGAACTAAGCATATCGCTAACGTTTGGCTCATTGAATTAATTCCAGATAGCCAAGTTTATCGAACATGCTAATTTTATCAATAGAAAGTTAAATAAGTAAGATATGTGGCAAAGTTCACCTGTGATTACGTAATGTATAACTCCACTTTCTGTATGCAGAAAGTTTTTTGAAAGTTTCTGTAAAAACTGATAAATGAAATAATTTCTTTTTTTGCTTTTTTGAGCCTCCTTCATCGATATCGATTGCTGTTATTATTAATTAGCCATTAGGCTTCCACTTTCGTTCTACTACTAAGAAGTCCGTGGTGTCAGATCTCTTTCACAAGAAGAAGATATAATGAATGTCAATCAACTAAGAAAAACGCTATATACTTACAATCAAAGTCAGATACTGGAATAATACGTCTATATGTATCAGTATCAGGCTGTCCTTCGCCCTGATGAAGTGGACTGCAAGGTTTCTCTATATACTTACAATCAAAGTCAGATACTGGAATAATACGTCTATATGTATCAGTATCAGGCTGCCCCTCGCCCTGATGAAGTGGACTGCAAGGTTTCCGAAACGTTGGCATCTCAAGAATGGATCACGGAGGAAACCCGTGAAACGCATAACCTTTATATGTCTATATGTATTTAAATACATTTTTCTCAGATATAAATAATACTAATCTTTCCAAATTAAATCGAATCGTCTATTCGATATTATTAGTATCTTGAAATCTGTAAACAACTTATTGCAAAAAATATTACCTCAATCGGGATTCGATAAGAAAACAAGAAAAAAGAAGAAGCTATAATGAAATCTATTAACAGAGTGTATGACGATAAAGAATATATATATAACGATAAATTAGCATTGCCCGGTTTTAATAGATTTGGCTCTTCCTGAGAAGGTTCTCAGAACGAAGATACGAAGTAAAAAGGAAAAAAAAAGAGGACGACAGGTTTCAAAATTGCAAATTTCTGAGCAAGTAGTAGTACAAGGCAACGGTTTCTCGATCCACTCGTGTATCATCTGACATAAGAGCACAGATAGACAGGAAGAGAGAGAGATCACATGTGTGTAGTGTAACAATATACCCGGACTATGTTCCCCGCACGTTGTTCAATATTTACATCAATGAGACGGATATATTACCGGATTAAGATGACCCCTGTGGCTTTTTAATTATACAGGCCTCAGTGCGTCAGGACATCTGCCCTATAGAAATCGGGACTCTCGATCCCCCGATCCGTTCCCTACTCTACATCAGCGATCCGTTTCCCTTGCTACAGAGTATCAATTACATTGTTATTACCCGGTAAGTATCCCGAAGATGTGGTCAGATCGCAGATAATACACTGGTATAAGAGCATGCCGCAACAATGGGACAGGTACACAGAAACGTGGCCCCCGTCGTGCGAGCAGCGCGATAACGATCGTGCGGTGCAACTATGCGTCTAATTTGGATCTACCCGCAAAAGAGGATGCCGCTCGCAAAAAAAAAAAGAAGAAGAAGAAGAGGGGTACGTGCCCCACGGGGTTCGGGCGTGTGCATTCGGCCGCTCGCACGTACCCCAAAATACGTACGTATGTATGTACGTATATATAGCGAAGGGTTCGTCCTTTGGAGGATTTAGTGAGACTCTCGGGATGACGAGCGAAGTACGAGGCTCGCGGACAGGAAACACGGACTTCAGCATAGCCCGTATACTCGCGGAGGAACTCCCGGGTGCCGAGGTCGACGCGCGAAAACAGCACGAGTCTCCGGAGTGCGATTCCCGGGGAGGAACGAAGGCTGGAGAACGGACGTCGGAACGTGCGGGCGAGCCGGAAAAGCGCGACACGTCGTACGTCCCCGTCGTAGCGGAGCGACAGCGAACCGGCGTCGGCGTCGCCGAGAGCACTACACGGTGGACCGATCTCACGTGGCTTCAGTACACTCGGTACAGACCTCCGAGATTACCTAGGAGGTCTCTCACTGAAAGACGGGTCAAGCGACAAGCAGGCGATCATCCTCGCATCCCGTTCTCCTCGTCCCAGTTGCAGATATTAGAGGAGAAATACAAAAAGGGTGCTTATTTATCCAGGACCGACGTCGTCGAAATGTCCGCAACGTTACGACTGCCGCAGAACAAAGTATGTCGGTGTTGTGAGGATTTTTCTTTTCATTATATCGTTCAGTCAATCTACAATTTTTTATATTTAAGACTTTTAAATGCGACTTTTTAAGAAAGAACTCTTACCTAAGTAAAGAAAACAAGAGATAATTGTAAAGAGAATTAAAATACCTTTAAAACAATATATTAGATCTATTTTTTATAACTAAAAAACTGGTATAGACTTTGTATTTAAAATAAAATAGAATAAATTATATAACTTATAATATTTAGCCAAAACGAGGAAGAAAATTTTAGTGCAGTTCGACAGCAATAAAAAAACAAACCTATTTAACATTGGGTGCAATTTATAAGTCCACCCAAGCAGAACAACAAGTCAAAATGACATTAAAATGAATCGGAAATGATTAAAAAATGACTTTTAGTGATTATTTTGGAGTCATTTTGACTTATATCATGATGACTTGTTGTTCTGCTTGGACAACGCTGTGATAAACGCTCTGTGACGATCGGATTATATTTTTAGATCTAGGAAATAGTCTCAGCGAAGAAAATTTCTAACAATTGCAAAATGAACATTCTTTTGAATGAACGTTATATCGCGTTCTGTCTGCGGAAATCGTAACGCTTGCCGCGCAGCGCAAATTAGCGCAGTAGCCAATCGCTTTTCCATAAAAGCGAAAGAATGGACGAGTTCAAGACGGCAAAGCAGCTAGGCATCCTTACCGAGCGATCGAATATGATTGGTTCTATCTATAAGTAACAACCAATTATGTTCATTTGCTCGGCGAGCAGGCTAGGCACTTTGTCAACTTGAACGCGCCCATTCTTTCGCTTTTATGGAAAAACGATAAATTGAATGGCTGTCGTGCCAATTTCAAGTGTTGCCGCATTCTGTGTGCATCATAACAATAGGGTCCGGTTTCGCCAATTACTTAATCGGCGTTTAACTGACTAATCGCTGTTTAGTAGAATTGACTGTCCGTCCTTATCTTGTTCTGTTGCTAGTAAATAAAGAAATTGCGCGATATTGATGAAGATTATCGAAATTCGAATTTATTGTTGTATTTGCAGATCAAGATCTGGTTTCAAAATCGTCGAGCAAGACAGAAACGGGAATCACTAAACTCTACGATAACAGCACGATGATTCGACAACAATGGAAATCAATAAGGTTCTTCTGGAAGCCTATATCTGGATCAAGAAGGATTCGACAATGTATCGAATTTAAATCGCAATTATTTCGAGCAACTCGACTTTCGGCTATTTATTTCGTGCCTTTCGACTATTGTACTGTAAATAAACTTATTTATATACAACTTTAGCGCCAAATTATTACGATTATTTCCAATCACGCGAGAAATTAAGTCCACGCAATGATATCTAAATGCGCGATCATTGAAAATTATACTAGCATTAGAAATAAGAAAATTCCAAAGAGAAACATTATAAAGGAATTTTTTCAGAATAAATGTATGATATGAAGAATAGGAGCAATGCACATCGTATTTTTCCGTCTCGTGAAGTATCCATGCAATAATTCGACATCGTGGACGTCCAAACGACGCGTTCATCATACATGGACGTATGTCTTCAAAGACATCCAGTAGATGTAGTCTTTTGTACGTAGAAATAATATACCGCCTAACGACATCTAATAGACATCTAATAGAGATATCTTTAGTACGTCCAATTCCATATGGAACAGAGCATTAATTCTGAAAAAATTATTTTTTTTTATATATAAATTTTTGAGAAAAAGAGGAGGACACCGAATACAGTCGTCGTCAGCAAGATTTGAGAACTCAAAAAATTTATTAATTTTCATCTCGACCGGAGCCCAATTATAGGAACTCACATTCAAGGCATCATCTCATCAGGTATTATTAAAAAAAAGGGTAAAAATTTTTCACTGAAAAATTTCATCGTATTGCACCTTTTAGCTTATTCGATGTGGCTTTTTAAATATGAATAATTGAATTTTACTGTGTCTTTTTAGCGATGTCGTGCACTGCTTGAAAATTGAACAAATTGGTTCGTGTCGTGACTCTTATTAGAGGGTCTTTACTCAACCTAATGCCTAAATCAATGGCGATAAACAATAATTTGTAAAATAAATGTTAAAAGTATAAAAAAATATTTCTTTTTCTTTACGTACCAGAGTACGTATACCGATTATGTATCTTGAAACGTGTAAAAGTTACAGAACTGAGTAAATTCACTAAATAAATCTATTACTAAAAAATACTAATGAAATTATAAATATTCCAATAAACTTGTTCGCTTTTGTAATTTTAACTTCGTTTCAAGATTTACAATCTAATCTTAAAATTTTCAAAATAATTTTGTAAAAATAGGGCGTTAAATTAAACAATTCTTCTCGCATACATTATTTCGATACGTAATGTAAAGAAATTTATTTTGTCTATATCTTCAAAATATCTAATTTTGATCATATTGCACTATGCGTTATGCAAAAGTCTGTGCTGCGACCTTAAGTGGGGAGCACAGACTCTTACATAACGCATAACACATGAGGCATAAGAAATTGAACCAATCAGTGTTCTTTATTTCAGAAAGAAAGGAAACGACGAATTTCGATTGGTACATTTTCTTATGCATTACATGTTATGCATTATGCAAGAATCTGTGCTCCCCGCTTAAGGTCGCAGCACAGACTTTTGCATAACGCATAGTGCATAAGCGAATCAACCAATAAAAATCTTTCCTTTCCTTCCATTTCATGGTCAATCAGAAAACAGAATTCCGATGATATGAAGCAAAATCCATCGGAATCCTGTTTTCTGATTGGTTGCAGAGCGTCGTACGACGCAAATCGGATGCAGTGTGAATCCAGCATTTGTGCTGCGGCTATAAGGCGTCGTCTACAATACATGGAGTAAAAAGTAAGAGTAAGAAATTGACCAATCACAGTCGATTATTCTTCTCACATTCGACTGTGATTGGTCAATTTCTTACTCTTACTTCTTACTCCGTGTATTGTAGACGGGCCTTAAAGGGCTTCACGCATGAAATGCATAACAGAGCATAAGCATAACATAAGGCCGCTAAACCAATGAGCATCTTATGTAAATCAATATGGCGACATTATGCTAGATGCTCATTGGTCCAGCAGTCTTATGTTATGCTTATGCTGTGTTATGCATTTCATGTGTGAAGCCCTTAAAGCGGGGAGCACAGACTCTTGCTAACGCATAACACATAATGCATAAGAATATGTACCAATCGAAGTTCTTTCCCTTCCATGTAATAGAGAACTCTGGTTGGTTCAATTTCTTATGCCTCATGTGTTATGCGTTATGCAAGAGTCTGTGCTCTCCGCTTAAGGCCTTTAGCTGGTCTATAGTACTCTATTCTCTATAGTTTATATGCCGCATGTACATCATACGTGTGTGCGTGCTTCGTATTTGATTTATATATAGTACGCGGTGAAGATTTCGTCCCTTCACGAGCGGTATAATTCTGTTCAATTCTGTCTGTCACCGATAGCTGTACGTAGAATTATTGTTTCAATATAACGGATAAGGCTAACGATGCCGCTGCAAGTTCACGACGTTCAGGTAAATATCCCGTCAAAATCGGGCGTGAGCGATTCTTCTCGCACGCGACTCGAGAGGGAAAAAGCTGTTTTGGGGGTTATCCAAAGCAAACCTTCACTCGCACGTATCTCTTTGTCGTTTCTTCATTCCTCTCGATTGAAATACTCCTGTAGGCCGAATGGTTTGTCTTTTATCTTATTATTTACAGCAAAATGTCGTGGAGCCAATGCAGGTTGATGCTCCTACAGAGGATAATGATAATGCTGAAGAGGAACCATATATAGTAGAAAATCCGACGCTAGTACGTATAAAGATCGGTTTAATATAAAAACAATTCTATATTTGTTAATCACAGAAATTCAATTGCATTCTATGATCATTGTTATCTTACTTTTCCATCAGGACTTGGAGGTATATGCCAATAGCTATACTGGACTCGCAAAACTACACAGGCTTGTATATATCGCTGATCATTGTCCATCGTTACGAATAGAAGCATTAAAGATGGCAATTACTTATGTGATAACTACATACAATGTTGGACTTTATGTAATGTTACATAAAAAGCTTGTGGAAGCTATGGGCTATACTCCTGGATTACCAGATATAGCGGCACAGTCAACTTCTCAGGATATGCCAACAATGGATCAGACATGGGTAGAAACTCGATCTAAGAAGGCTGCTCTTAAGTTAGAAAAGTTTGATACTGATCTGAAAAATTACAAGAGTAACTCTATCAAGGAGAGCATACGAAGAGGTCACGATGATTTGGGAGATCACTACTTGAATTGTGGCGATCTCGTTCATGCTTTAAAATGTTACTCTAGAGCACGGGATTACTGTACTAGCGGCAAGCATGTTGTGAACATGTGTTTAAATGTAATCAAAGTTTCTGTTTATCTACAAAATTGGTCTCATGTACTTAGTTACGTCACCAAGGCTGAAAGTACACCAGACTTTCCAGAACTGCATGGTAAAGACAACAATCAAGCGATAGTCACAAAGTTAAAAGTGGCAGCGGGCTTGGCAGAATTGGCAACAAGAAAGTATAAAATGGCTGCAAAACATTTTTTACAAGCGTCTTTAGACCATTGCGACTGCCCTGAATTGCTGTCCCCTGGAAATGTAGCTCTTTATGGAGGACTTTGTGCTTTAGCAACTTTTGACAGACACGAATTGCAAAAACAAGTTATATTTAGTAGTTCCTTCAAATTATTTCTAGAATTAGAACCACAACTTCGAGATATAATTTTCAAATTTTACGAATCAAAATATGCATCCTGTTTGAAACTGCTCGATGAGATAAAGGATAATATTCTCTTGGATATGTACATAGCACCTCATGTAAACCTGTTGTATACACAAATTCGAAATAGAGCCTTGATACAATATTTTAGTCCTTACCTAAGTGCAGATATGAGACGAATGGCGACTGCATTCAATAGAACTGTATCCGAATTAGAAGACGAGCTTATGCAACTTATTCTCGACGGTCAGATTCAGGCTCGTATAGATTCACACAACAAGGTGAGAGGCTGCACTTGATTTACATATAACATTTTCTGAAGGTGACATTACATGGGAGCATCAAGCATCGAGCATCTATCCAGAAATTCGAGCACTGTGCATGATTATAAATCTAAAATTTCAGCTTCTTAATGCAAAAGATAAATTCACCATGGTTATGTTCTGATCTATATATTGTCCTAATATATATAATACTAAAAATTTAATTTATTTACATTATATAATCAAACAAGATTCCATCCCTAGCAGTGCGCATTGAATTCAATTTCAGTAAAATTATTATTTATTTAGTAAATATATCATTGTGCATGCTCTAACGCTTGACGCTTCTATGCATAGATATCTTTAGACATTTATAAATTGTGTGAGAGTATGTATTTTAATAAATTATTTAGGAAATATATAGATTTAACTGTGCAATTGATATAATTATTACAGATTTTATATGCAAAAGATGTCGATCAACGTAGCACCACTTTTGAAAAGTCTATGAGTGTTGGAAAAGATTATCAGAGGCGTACTCGTATGTTAATCTTAAGAGCTGCGATGTTAAAACAGCATATTCACGTGAAGGTAAAGTATACTTTTTTGGCAATTATGTTTTCTCATTTTTAGTATATCAATTGTATAAATTTCATCAAAAATTATCTTGTTTACCGTTCTATTTAAAAGTTTTTTTTTTCACGATAGAGTCCTCAACGGGACAGTACACAAGGAGGTGAAATGTCAGTAGCACCTGGAAATGGCACTTTAGCTGTAAAAAATTGAAATTGTATGCGCGTTAACTGGAAGAAGCAAATTTATATGCGTGTCTCTCTCTTTCAACTGCCATGTCCATCTAGGTATGAAAAGATAAGATTTCATTATCACATTCGACATTGCGTTATTTTGTGCAAAGTCAGTGACCTGTACCTCATTTTCAACATATGTATAATATATAACATGTACACATACACACACACACATACGAGTTAGTCAAAAAGAAATCAGGCTAGGTCTAAAAATTTGAGTATTTACATAATTTATATTTGGAATCCACATCTCCTTCGAAGTAGTGTACATTTGTTGTATATTGATCTCATTTCTTCCATCATGCCTTAAATGCCCTTTGGAAATCTTTATCTCAAATTTTTGCGATTCAGCTTGGGATGTTCTTGATTCTTGATCGAAACGCTGCTTCTTGAGCTTTAATTTTATTTTTAAAAATAAAAAGAAGTCGAGTCAAGACTAAATTCGGCGAGTAAAGATTCAAAAAAGTGGGAAAAGTCAAGAGCGCAATAAAGACCATCTTAATTGTTTTTTCAACATTGAAA